CAAAGCCAGCACTGGTGTGACATAAATAATTGGATGCGTAGTTTGCTGGTTTTTCTCACAGCATGCTGTTCATAATCTGGGGGTTGCCAGCCTGCAATCTTTCTTGGCCTCTATCAAAAATTGCTGATGCTTCCCTCGAGGGGGATCACTGCAGATGCTCTTCCCAGGAGGGAACCAGTCTGTGATTGGATTAGGCTTGCTTTTGTTGGCATAGTAATTAACACAGCCATGGTGCATAACCTGATTAAAGAGTCGATAAAGGTTTATTTAGGAACTAACATACTTGATAGGGAAGAGGAGAGACAGGGATAAGTTTTACAAATAAATAAATGATATCCATTGGTAAGGAATTTTTTTGTTTATAACCTTGTTTTGGAGAGTAAATATGGTAAGCTTGGTTTGTGTTATGCCATTGGCTTGCTTCAGGAAAGCAAAGTTCTCGTTCTAGACAATTTAATATCCCTTTTTGCGATTAGATTTGCTCATTTGTTTGGAAGTAAAGATCAGGAATCCCTTTATCACGGACTGTACTGTTGCATCCTTCGTTCCCCTTCCTTACGGAAAAATAATTATTTCTAGAAACTTGAACCCAAAGTTAAGGGATCTCGGGGGGGTCATCCTTCCTGTAGGGGAAGCAGATTTGGCACCTCTCACTGATACTGTGGGGTGGGGAGTCGAGGAGAGAGCCGGCAGGGTGTCTGGTTTCAAAGAAACACCATGCACGGCTGATAGAAATATTAATGAAACCGAGATTAATACCATGTGACAGTTTCGTTGCCTTGCCATGTGAGCAGGGAGCGAACGGATCTAATGGGAAACATGCCTCTCGGTTTCCAAAATTATAACTTCGTGACGGCTCGTGTCAGAACAGAATCATTCTTGTCCCATCTTGGACAGCCTTTGCGGGCTCCTGGGCCCTGATCCGGCAAGGTACAAATACCTGTCATTGGCAGGAGAGCCTGAGTATAAGACTAAAGCAGAGATTGAGTGAAAGGGGGTCAGCTTTCTTTCAGCACGGATGATAATTGTGTCGGCAATCCGTTCGGTCATGGCTTCTGAAAGAGGCAATGAGGTGTAATGGTCTGAGTGCTGGACTCAGATTTGTAAGGTCTAGGTTCAGCTTTTTGCCATGAAGCTCATTCAAGTGACCTTGTCCAGTCACTCTCTCTGCCTAGCCTTCCTCACAGGGTTGTTGTGAGGATTAAGCAGGGGAGGGGGGGAATGGCATACGCTACTACGAGCTCTTGGAAGAGAAGGCGGGATAAAAATGTACTGGTCGGTAGATCTAAAATCAGGGCTTCTAGTAATGATACTTAATATTTGAAACATCAGAATGCTCGAAAGAACTGTAGGTTTTACAAAAGATAATCTACGAGACTGTAAATTAGGTTTAATCCCCATATTACATGGGGGGGGCTGCTGAGGCTTAGAGAGAGCAGCTGGCCTAGTGTCGGTGAGATTCCCACCGGGGAATCTGATACATAGCTTGCTTTCTAAGTCACTGTGCTATGTTGTTGTTGTTGCTCAGTTGCACAGTTGAGTCCGACTCTTTGCGACCCCATGGACCACATCATGCCATGCCCTCCTGTCTTCTGTCGTGCTCTGGAGTTTGCTGAATTTCATGTTCGTTGCCTCGATAACGCTGTCTAACCATCTCATCCTTTCCCGTCCCCTTCTTCTTTGACCTTCAATCTTTCCCAGCATCAGGGTCTTCTCCAGCGAGTGCTCCCTTCTCATTTGGTGGCCAGAGTATTTGAGCTTCAGCTTCAGTATCTGGCCTTCCAGGGAACAGACAGGGTTGATTTCTTTTACCAGATATTAATTCCAAGTCTTTCATGGATTGCTGAACTCAGTTTTAGCTGATGGGCATAGTGCCTCTTGACATATGGAAAGGTGCGCAGAATAGTTTGCAGTGTTGGAACATCCAAGCGCAGCTTACTTTTTGGAGGAATTTACTGTATTTACACTCTCCCCCTGCATAATTTATTTTATATCAGTTGCGGCCAGTGTATTTGAAGAATAAAGCTTTTTGTAAAAATCAGCCATCAGGGAGAATTTCTGCAGGCTGATAGGTTCTAGTACCATCTTTGAGAGTTACATAAGGTATTTGTTTATTTGTTTTTCGTTGATGGACTCTCCGCGTAACAATTTTTAAAGTCTTGGGGGGTACGCTGCCCAAACCTCTGTTTTAAATACAGTAAATCAGCCTGAATACGATTTGTCTCAAGTGATTCCAGGATATTTCTTTTTTTTTGTAGCATTTTTTTGGATAAATTTTCTTAGAGCATGTTTTTTGTGTGTGTTGGATTTCAAGTGTCTTAATACAGTCTAATACAGGGGTGTCAGACATGCGGCCCGGGGGCCGGATCAGGCCCTCAGAGGGCTTCTGTCAGGCCTGCAGTGGAACTGGCTGTCTTCTGCTTCTTCTTCCAGTTCTGTTGCTGCTTCGTCATCATAGGTTTGCAGCTTACAGATACACACCTGAACAGCACACTCAAGACTGCAACAGCATAGATGTTTTGCTGCAATCATTCAGAGCAAGAGGTGTCAGTTATGAGACACTGTTAAATAGACAAAATATTGCAAGAGTGCTAATGTTTTAAGCATGTTTTTATTTTAACTTAAAAAAAACCCCTTTGTTTTTGTGTCCTTTATAAAGTTTATATCTCCGCTACCTGGCATTACATTTTATGACACACATGGCCCGGCCAAACAAGGTCTCATTTATGTCAGATCCGGCCCTCATAACACATGAGTTCGACACCCCTGGTCTAATATATCATTAATTTGGCGTGTTTGTCTCCAGTTCATCCTCTCAGTGGCACAATCCACTAGGAAGCACTTCCGTACATCCCTTAGCCACGTAGCAGAGCAACCATGTTCCTAGTGATTAAATGGGCCTCTGCAAGGGCCCTTGACTGCGGTGGCTCAAGTGGTTAAGACGCTGAACTGCAGGCTGTGGAAGGTCAGTAGTTCAGCAGTTCGAGACCCGAGTGTGCCGCATGACGGAGTGAGCTCCCGTCTCTAGTTCCAGCTCCTGCCAACCTAGCAGTTCGAAAGCAAGAAATTGCAAGTAGATAAAGAGGTACCACTTCGGTGGGAAGGTAACAGCATTCCGTGCGCCTTGGTGTTTAGTCATGCCGGCCACATGACCACGGAAATGTCTACGGACAATGCCGGCTCTTCGGCTTTGAAACGGAGCATCACTTAGCCGCATAGCAGAGCAACCATGTTCCTAGTCATTAAATGGGCCTCTGCAAGGGCCCTTGATCCCCACCTGGCATATTTTGAACAAGAGAGGCCTCCTGTTCGTCTGTGGGTCACTTGGAAGTCCATTGTTTTTCTGTTTCTTCTCTAGAATGACAACCTGTCCACGTGCTCTGTTATAGATCCCGAGTCAGATCCTTCTGGGGTCTTCTTATGCCCTTAATTTGAGGGAGGAATTGGAAATCGAAAATGTTTTCGCCCGTGGAAGGACCAGGGTTTCTTGACTCTCTTTTTGTTTCCTCTCCAACACAAGCAGTCCCGCAGATAACATCAGGGAGCTCACTCTCGTAGTGTTCACAAGTCCCCTAGAGAAACCCACTAACCTGCGAGTGACCCCGGATAACCCGTATGGGGATTTGGCTGGGTTTTCTAATTTGTGTTTAGAGAAAAGGTACCACCTCAGGGTCTCCGAGATCGTGAGAGTTAAAAAGGGGGGAGCTTCTTACATTTTAATCAAGTGTCCTACCTGTTCTTGTATTGATTTTTTTGGTAAATAAAGGGTGGTTCTTAAAAGATTGGGGACCACAATAAAGTGGATCCAGAAACCAGACAAGTGCTTTCATTTACTAGCTTGTAAACGTATTTCCTTCCCCTCCCCACCACCGCCATGACCACTGTGGAACGCCAACAGCTTAGCAGCAACTCAAACCAGCTGCTGTAGATGTTACTTAACCCTCTGAAGCGCTTTCAGTTTAATAGCATGTCATAAATTGATGATGGACTTGGACTAGGTACCACTTCACTTCTGATTAAAGGAAAAGCGCTTCCAGAAGCTCCTTGCAGACCCTTGAAAGCACTTTTTCATTTCTGCTTGGTTTATCTTGAGGGGAATCTTCCAGGGCTTTGAGCTGGCCAGTGTTTGTGAATGGCAGGAGTTTGCAGGATTGCTGAAGTCGGCGTTTCCAAGGAAAGAGGTTGAAGCGGGTTGACTTTGACAGTATGGTGGGTGGGACAAAAACAAAGATCCCCCCCCATAGGAGGAAAGAAGTCTATTACAGATGATGATGATGAGAAAACTGCTAGAGGCAAGGCTATTTTGGGGCAGGAACGCACAGGAATGGAGTTCCGGATGGCTCCTGAGTTGGCCACGCCCAGCAGAAACTCATTAGCATAATAGGCCACACCCAACAGCAGAAACTCATTGGGATTGGCTATATTAGGGGTGTGTGGCCTAACATGCAAAGGGTTCCTGCTACAAAAAAAGCTCTGGGTTTTGACAACAAACAAGGTAAACAGAATAAGAAGCAAAAGATGGGTGTGGCTGGATGAGCACACTTCTGGTAACGTGGGATGTGGCCTAATATGTTAATGAGCTGCTCTGTCCGGGGTGTGGCCTAATAGGCTAATGAGTTTCTGCTGTTGGGTGTGGCCTATTATGCTAATCAGTTCCTGCTGGGCTTTTTCTACAAAAAAAAAGCCCTAGCTAGAGGTGTGGCCAACCTGTCTTGCTCAGCAAGGTAGCCATTTTCCTCCGTGGGATTTCAGTGACATAAGCAGAGAATCGGCAATTCTGTCATAGCCAAGTGCAACTTTTGCAATCCCTATGAAGCAGATGGCTTTTGGGTCTCCTTGTCGTCCTGCAGTTCTCTTAAGAGCTTTTTGAAAGACAAGGGAGCTTCCGCGGGACGGTAAAAACGACTAAAATAACTCTGATGCGTTGCCCTCAGAGCCGCCTGGAAATAATATCTTTTAGCTTGTGTTTTTAATATTGTTTCCTCCTGTTTCTTTTGCAGGTATTCCTTTGGTAAGTGAGCATAATTCAGAAAATCTCCCGTAGGGGTTTTTCAGGCACTTTGAGGGTATGTAATATTTTTTTAAAAATTTCTCTGTTACTGATTCTTCCTGTTATTTAAGGAAATGTAGTTCTAGATCGCTCTGGGGTGGGAAGAGCTCTTTCACAGGCAGAATGCCAGGCTGGATCAAGGGCTTCAGGATGGGATAGAAGGTTTTCTGGAACAGATCCTGACTCCACTGTATGTCTGCAGGTTCTGGGCCTGCACCCCCCAAAAACAACAACAACAAGAACCCAAGAAAGTGGGTGCGTTCACCTCCTATGCCTAGAGACCCCCACTTCGTGGAGAAGGTGGTGATATGTGCCAGGAGGCAACCTCAGGGGAAAGCCTCGGCCTCTATGCCCTGTTGTTGGACCTGCAGAAGAACTGGTTCGCCACTGTGAGACAGGATGCTGGACTAGATGGACCCGCAGTGGTCTGATCCAGCAGGGCTCTTCTTATATTCTTAGTATCAGGGGAAGGCCTCAGCCTCTCTGCCCTGTTGTTGGCCCTCCAGAGGAACTGGTTGGCCACCGTGTGTGCTGGAGTAGGTGGACAACTGGTCTGATCCAGCAGGGCTCTTAGATTCTTAATATCAGGGGAAGGCCTCAGCCTTTCTGCCCTGTTGTTGGCCCTCCAGAAGGACTGGTTGGCCCCTGTGTGAGACGGGATGTTGGACTAGATGGACCACTGGTCTGGTCCAGTGGAGCTCTTCTGATATTCTTAAGTCTATTCATCCCGATTTCTATAGCTATGATGTCAAATTTCTTGGTTTGGGGATGTTCTGCTTTATTTATTTTAAGTTTAATTATCTTTAATAATTTCGAGGAAGTTGAATAAACATTACGTAGTTCATCACAGGGGGCGATATCCCAACCCAGGGGTCCCCCAACCTTTCTGAGCCTGCAGGCTCCTTTGGAATTCCAACACAGTATGGTGGGCGCAGCCGCAAAATGGCTGCCACGGGAAGCAGACTCAGCAACAACATGGCCGTGGCACAAGGGGAAGCCATGCACACAGGGAGAGCCTAAATGCTTGGGAGAAGAGGGGCAGTTTAAAAAAAATACACTGGGGGAGAGGAGTGATCGAGAATAAAACAGACACTGTGGTGGCAGCCGTTGCTGAAACAACGTTATTCTAATACACCCAGCTGATTGGCTCTCTAGTGCCCAGTCGGAAGCTCTGCTGGGCAGGAACCCCACTCGGCCACACCCACTTTCTAGAAACACTTGGCGGGCACCAGGAACGGTGCCAAGGGGTGCGATGGTGCCTTTGGGCACCATTTTGGGGACCAGTGTTCCCTCTAAGCTGAGTTAGTGTGAGCTAGCTCACAGTTTTTTAGCCTCTGGCTCAAACATTTTTGTCCTAGCTCAGGGAGAATGGCTCCAGAGCCAACTAATTTATGCAGTAGCCAAATCGCTCACTCACAACTTTAATGCCAGCAGCTCACAAAGAAGAATTCTTGCTCAGAAGACTCCACAGCTTAGAGGGAACATTGTTGGGGACCCCCGGCCCAACCTTCCTAGGTTACTTCCTGGAGCACTTGCAGAAAGATTCTCTCCTTATTAAAAGTGAGCCAGGCTCTGATTTGACGCCTGTAAGATGCATATCAAATCTTCATGCGCCTGTGCTTGATTTTGGTCCAGCCTTCGCACCCGGGAAGGGCTGGTACCCCCACAGCCTCGTAATAACATAAGAACATAAGAGACGCCAATGTTGGATCAGGCCAAAGGCCCATCTAGTCCAACACTCGGTCACACAGTGGCCAAAAATACCAGGTGCCACCAGGAGGTCCACCAGTGGGGCCAGGACATTAGAAGCCCTCCCACTGTTGGCCCCCCCAAGCACCAAGAAGACAGAGCATCCCTTGCTCCGGAGTCCCTATCTATACCTTGTGGCTAATAGCCACTGATGGACCTTCTGTGCTCAGGTTAGAGAACCATTCACCT